GTCAGGTCCAAGAGAAGTCAGGCTCAGGAGAGGGCAGTCCTAGGGGAGGGCAGGCCCAGTAGAGGTCAGGACCAGAATAATAAAGGCCCATGAGAGGGGAGGACCAGGTGAGGTTAGGCACAATTGAGGGCAGGCTGAGGTGAGGGAAAGCCCAGGAGAAGCCAGGCACAGGAGCAGGCGGGCCCAGAGAGGGCAAGCACAGGAGAGAGCAGGCCCAGGTGAGGTGAGGGAAGGAGTGTAGGTCCAGGGCAGGTCAGGCACAGGGGAGGAAATGCCCAGGAGGGGGCTGGCCTGCCCTGTCCTGGGCCTGCCATCTCCCGGGCCTGCTTACTCCTAGGACTGCCCTCTCCAGCTCGCCCCCGGAGAAGCCCTGGGTGCCCTGCACGAGGGCCGCCAGCGCCCGCTGTAGAATCAGCCCGCGAGCCGGGCCGTCTCGTCCAGGGCCGAGGGCCACGAGGTCGTGCCCACGACCAGCACGCCGTCGGCCCCTGCGCCGTCCAGGCAGGCCAGGAGCGGCGCTTGCAGGGCTCCCGAGGCGCCCACGCCTTCGTCCAGGGCGGGCAGCAGCGCGTCCAGCTCGCTGAGGAGGAGCACAGCGGGCGGGCGGCAGCGCGCAACCGCGAAGGCGGCCTGGAGGAGGCGCGCACCTTCGGACGCGCCCGGTGCGGCCAGCGTCGCTCCGCGGCGGGCCCGGGCTGCCCGGGAAGGCGGGCGGCCTCAGCAGGGGCCACACCAGCTCCTCCTCCAGCGCCGCCTTGAGCGCGCCCTGGCCTGCCACGACCACCCACTTTACCGGCGGCCCGCAGTCCACCATCTTGCTGGTCACCAGCTCCAGGGCCCCCGGGTCCTCACCTTTGGGAGGCTCCCCCAACGGCACTGCAAAGCCCCCGCGGGGAGCCAGCGCCGGGGCCCGCTGCGGAAACTTCTCAAAGGGCTCGAGTTGTGGGCCGTAGACGGGAGAGCCCAGAGACCTTGAGGGGGACACCGCTGCCGTACTTGCCCGACGCCTCCTCGGCGGCTCCCAGCGGCTTAGACCGGAACCCGTCGCCCCGACACTCACCGTTGTCCGCGGCAGGGTAGGAGGTGCCGTCGGCCGCCGGGGCCTTGGCAGGCTCGTAGACATACTTGCGGTAGCGGCCCTCGGCGGCGGCCTTGCGCTTCAGCGACACCGCGACCTCCGCAGCCGCCTGGAAGCCGTAGGAGGAGGGCGCCGGCCGGGGCGGGGGCGGGAGTGGGCGCC